CGAACATGTTCCACGAATTCTCTTTTGACATCAGGAATATGCCTTCTATCAAACATTTCCCGCCGCTGCTCCACATTATTGAGTTCCTCTCCCTTGAGCTTTAAAATCATGGGGTCGCCCTGCAAGTGTTACAACAAGTCAACACAAAGAAAGTTTTCTTTTTTCCGAACAACCAATAGGTTCAAAAGAACACTTTCGATCTGGAGAAAAATCAAAACAGGCCGTCGGTTGTTCGACAACCTCCAGATTATCGACGGCGGTGATGGGGTGGTCGCGATTGTCTGAGTGACAGTGAGTGAATGGCTGGAAGAGACAAGAGAGAAGTGGGAGTCTGAGTGACAGTGAGTTGCGTGCTTTAGTAAGGTCACTTTTCAGTACAAGCTTTGTGATATATAGACAGTAAGAAAGCGTGCAACGTACGCCAATGACCCCTACCCTTACAATCTTCTTAGCTACGCCACTGCTCACGTGACACAAAAATAACACATCAGGAATTAACACACGATAAATGCTAAGAAGATTTTTTTTAAAGTAAATTTTTTTATGAATTATCTATCATCTCTTGTTCTTGATATAATATTTTATAAAAAGAAATTGTTATTGACATTTTAAAAATCTTATTATGTATTTCAAACTTTCTATAATTAAAAAGAAAATATAGTTGTGAGGAGTGTAAAAAGAGATTATTAGAGTGCTAATAACAGTTCTTTTATAATATAAATACGATAATTAATGTTAAATTGTAAAGTATCAAAGAGTCCATAGAAAATCTTTAGCATTTTTCTTAACACGCACTTTATTATAGACTAGTTTTAGTCATGGATATGAAGAACTTGAATTTAACATACCCATATCCCTTCATATGTTTAAGTTTGTCATTTGCGGCTAAAATTGAAGTTTTCGCGAACAAGCGCTTCAGGATCTTAATTACTAAGTAATATTCTCTCTCCTTCTAATCTTTCTCTCTTTCTATCATCTCCTATTTAAACGGTTGTGATTATGCTACATCTATATCTTGTTTTGAATTTTTCATATAAAGAATAAGATAAAAAGAAGAATGTGAGAGGAGGAGATGGAAGGAGATAGTAATAGAAGGAGAGAGAATCATACTCCTTTAATTACGTAGTGTTTCTACTGCCCAACACAAATGATATTTAGGGATAATCTATATTCTAACAAATCGAAATGATAGTTTCATGAGCAACTGTCGTCTGTTCAGTATTATTTATGACCAAAATTGTACTTGTGGCTGAAGAGTTTACCGGTAAAGATGATTATATAAAGACCCCCACACCTCCCCCACCCCAACCCTAAACATGTTTAATAAGAGGAGCCAAGAGTATGAAATTATTGTCACTTAGTACTACGGTTTAATGGTATTCTTTTTCACTGATAAGTGAGAAATTTTATATTCGATTATCGCCAAATGAGAAATTAAACTACATTATTACTACCCATTGTGAGGTTTAATCTATCTCCTCCCTTTAAATGAGTCCTTTAATGGTTTCCAAGCTTGGTATGCCAGACAAACCCTGTGTCATAAAGAAAAATATCTAAGAATGAGAAATGCTCAGGACTTTCTCAAAAGTTGTACTCTTTGTGGACTCTCTGTTATCGTACATGTTGAACAAAAAAAAAAAAAAATATATATATATATATATATATATATATATATATATATATATATATATAATAAAATTAAAAAAAAAAGTTTGCAGCAAACAAACTTTTCAAAAGAAAGATGCTGCTCACGTGAAACCTGTTTAGACTTGGAAATCCAAGTCGACAAGAGAAGAAAACGTGGAGCAAAACTCCCCATCTTCTGCAAAACGTGGAAAGTTTCCTGCAAGATGTGGGAGGTTACACGGTTAGTAGGAGAGGGTGGCGAAAGATATGGCCTCACGTAAAAGTTCCCGAGGATTCCTATGATGCCTATAAATAGGCATCAGTCGCAATGAGGAGAGGACGAAAAAAAAGGGAGACGCTGCAGAAATTGAAGCACACGAGGGACAGAAAAAAAGAAGGGGAGACGCTGCAGAAAAGAGGGAGATCGACAAAAAAAAAAGGGACGATAGAGAAGAGCACAAAGGAACAAAAAAAGGAAGAAGACCAAGACACAGAGAAGACAGCAGAGAAGTACGAACGGCAAAGAAGAACAACGCAAGAAAGCAAGGGAGAAACATAAGGAAAAGAAACAGCCAAGAGCAGGAAGGTATAATTTATTTTTAAATTTGTTCTTTGTTGTTTTGTTTCCTCTCAACTTTTGCAGGAGAGAAAGAAGAAATTTGCTTTCTTCTTCATATTTCACCAAAGTAAAAAATGGAGACTAAGCCCACTGGCTCACCATGGCAACAATAACCAACATACGAGAGAAGTTCTGAAGACAGAACCGTCCTTGCCGTTACCGTTAACTCCATGAATTTCTTCGGGGTGGTCTAAACCACCCCGTGAAGTTCCAGTCAAGTCTACATGATCCGATCCTCACCGTTGTTGTCAATTCCATGAATTTCTTGTGGGTTGTCTAGACCACCCCTGAAGTTCCAACCAGGTCTAAGTGATCACTGCACTGCAGCAACCAAGGGACAACCTCAATATTCCGTGCACTAAGCCTCTGCAGCGCTCTCAATCCTGCGTAAGTCTTGCATCAGTAATAAGAAGGGAAGACTTCCAGTTCAGTCGAAGGGCCGTGGTCATCTTCAAAAGCCCTTGTGTTCTTTTCTCTACGTCAAAATGTGCAGATAGGTACCAAAGCATGGAGCTGCCGTGTACCGTTTTCCCGCCTGGAGGAAAGTGATATGTTGGCAAGACTGCTCACTGAAAAAAAAAAGTCCAGCTTTCATGCTTTCAAAGTACTATTTCAAGGAGTGGATTCCTACGAGACTCAGGCATCTAGAAGGTTTGCAAAGGAAAAGATGGTTTGCAAAGGAAAAGTAAGTAAATTTGACAAATGCTACAAAACAAAAGGGCATTTCACCTGCGATGAAGAATCAGATACTTAACCCACGATCAAGTTCTTAGGTTTTGTTTGCTCTACAAAGAGCAAAGCTTGGATATTAAATCCCACAGCGGCAAAACTCAGGTCATTAACCTTCGTAAGTGTTAAATCCCGCAAAGTATTTGGGTACAAAACTCATGCAGTTCTTGGATGCTAAATTTGTCTCAAACTCAGTTTGGTCTCTTCTCACAGCTACTGATCACAGTAGGCAATCCAACAAAACATGAGAGATGAAAAATAGCAATGGTGCTCTAGTACCTGGTAAAGTTGGCGAGCTATTAAGTGACTTTGCATGCATTGATCACTAGTTTGTGCCAAATAAAAGCATAGTAGATAAAGGAAAGTGTGGACAAAAAGTAAGTTACAAGTGGGAAAAACACACCCCATGTTATTCACGTGGTTCATTCATTCGTAAATATTTATGAACTACGCCGGTTTGATTCCGTTAAGGATACGTAGGCAGTCTGATATCAAATTATAGACGCAACCGTGAAATCAAGACGAATCCATGGTTTATATAAACTAGATTCATTTATGTTACTTTGACCAAGTAATTACAAATTCTACGAAGAGAAAGAGAAGTGAGCCGGTTCAAATTACGAATGACACAAAGCCACTTCAAAATTCAAATGGCATGAGGCCGCTTCAAAATTCAAATGGCATGAAGCCGCATCAAATCCCAAAAGGCATGAAGCTGAAGAAAAATCTCAAATGGCACAAAGCCGCGATGAGTCATGAAATCAAGACAATGAACTACGCCGGTTTGATTCCGTTAAGGATACGTAGGCAGTCTAATATCAACTTTTAGACGCAACCGTGAAATCGAAACGAATCCCTGGTTTATATAAACTAAATTCACTCCTGCTATCAAATACCAAATGGCACGAAGCCGAAGAAAAGTTTCAAAGGGCACAAAGCCGTATCAAATCTCGAGTGGCACGAAGCCGAAGAAAAATCTCAAATGGCATGAAGCCGAATCAAATGCTCCAATGGCTTAAAGTCCTCGCCTGCATGAGCTAAAACTGCACAAGGCATCAGTTGCTCCTCGCCCGCATGAGCTGAAACTGCATAAGGCACTATGCTCCTCGCCCTTATGAGCTAAAACTGCACAAGGCATCAAATCCAAACAAGTACCAAATACTTGAACTACGAGTGACTTGATCCCTCAAGAGGGTACGTAGGCAATCTAGGATTCGACCTAGGTGCAGTCACAAAATCAAACAAACACCAAAATCCTCAAGTTACATTTTATTCGAATTAGAATCAAAGGGTATTCCTTTCCTAAAAGAATGGTTGTAATTAATAGGCGCATAGCCTAGAATGGGTCGAACTCGAATTAATAAAACCCTCTTCGAAAAATGACGAGGGTGAAATTGTGTCGAGTGAATTATTTGTTTACATATTATGTACAATTTTTGCTCAACAGTACAATTTAATGTCAATTCTTCGGGTTAACATTTTAAAACATTGTGTCAAAAACATGAGGTGACAGAGAGTCTATAACTAATCCCACTTTTAAGAGAGTCTCGTTAGCATTTATCTCTAACAATTTCAAGGGGCACATTCCAAATTAAATAGGCATTTGGATATAGGCACCTGAACTTTATATTTTTCACATTAGATTCTCGTTAATTTATGAATGAGAGGCATCAATGCTTGTTTGAAATGGTCTAATGCAGAGAAAATGGTCTTTAAATTTGTAACATAATTTATGGGGGGAAGAAAAATGCTAAGAAAATCATCTTTTTAAACCATATTTTGTAAACCACATAATGAGGCAATTGGTACTTTGAATCCATTTTTAATGGTTTAAAGAAGGATTTGAACCATCAACCGCCATATCCTATGGTCCACAAAATATAGTCTAAAAAGATAATCTCTCCAATGCCATAGTTGAGTTTTCATTTGAACCAAGAACAAAGTAACAAAAGAAATCAATAAAAAAATAAAACTAAAGAGTAATTTTGGTAGTACATACTATCACTATCATTCATCTCCATCCTCATCCCATATCAATTAAAATCATGTTATATTTTTATTGTATTGAAATTTTATATTAAATGTGATTTTACAAAGCTTAACCATCACAAATTTGCATCTGCTACCATCTCAGAGTCGCATCAAGCAACATAAGCTATCAACACATTTGTAGAACACTATATGGCTAGTTCAAATACCATCGAAGAAGAGACTGAAGAAAACAAAATCTTCGAAGAGAACGAAGAAGTTGAGACATCAGATTCTCCGTCATCTCTTCTGCTGTAGGCTGCTTCAATACAAAGCTCAACCATCACAAACTATAAGCATCTATTTCCATCACAAAGCCACATCCTGAAGCTTTCTAAGAAACAGTCTACAAGACCACAAGACTTCAACAGGCTTGAAGGAAATGCAAACAAGGATCAAACTGCAAAGCACATATACCGTATGACATAAGCTCTAACCCACAAATATTGCTATTTTTCTCTTCTATATGCAAATGCAAAACGCAGTTGGTAGATCTCTATGGCTAGTTCAAATACCATTGAAGTCGAGATGGAAGAAAACAGAGACTCTCAAGACAATGAAGAAGCTGAGACATCAGCTTCTGCTTCATGTATTCCATAAAAAATATGTTGTAGAGATTTACCTGATTCTCTTTACCACTGCTTGATATATAGTTCCATCTTCCCCGAGAACCACTGGATTTCCAAAGGGAAACTTATTCGGATAGTAGTGGCTGAAGGAGTGGTTCAAGAGAAAGCAGGGCAGATTATGGAGGATGTAGCAGAAGAAAATATAAATGAATTGATCAACCAGGGCTTGCTGCAAGTATATGATGACCGCCCTTACACAGGAACTAAATTGCAGGTCCCTAGGTCCCCAATCCTCTTCGAGAATTCTGTCTTCACCTCTTAGAGAATTCAGTCTTCACCAACTAGAATACTCAGATTCTATGAAATTCCTCCACTTGCACTGTTGCTTGCGGCTGAAGACTTTACCTGAAGGTTTGCAGTTTCTCACTACTCTTGAGCAGTTAGACTTGCTGCCTTTGATGAATGATCATGCAGAACGATTGAGACCTGATGGGGGAGAGGAAAACTACAAAATTAGGCACATTCCACATATCATTTATTACCATATCAAGGGCGCAACAAATTGCAGCCACTAAGGAAGTATAAGGATCTAATAAAGTTTGGAGATCTTCGGATGGAAAGGAGCCAATGAGGGTGAATGGATAATTTTTAAGCTGTCTGATATATTCAGGATCACATATGTACCAATGCAAAGCTGTAATAGTTAGGATTGTTTCCATATACAAGTAGTTGGCCCTCAACTATTATGATTGACTCCATACACACTTTTCTTTCTTTTTGTACACCTCCATACACACTTTCAATTCCAGTAAAACATCACAAAGCAGAATAAAATCCACTGCTATGGACAGTTGCATTTGACAATACATCGTCTTTATAGCTTAATAATTACAATATTATATCCTTCAGTTTATCATCTTCACATCTTAATAGTTGCCTCTGGCCTTCTTTGTGCATCACTAGAGAGCTGCTTATAAGAAGAGAAAGTAAAACAAGCAAAACCAATCCGAGATTTTATGGCATTCGATTAACGCAGAAAGTAAGAGCCTTGTCAGATTTCCGTACATATAAAAAATATTCTGTTCCTAGTACAGATAGCTTGTTTTGTCACTAATTTTAAATCCTACTACAAGGAATATTTTGATCAAACAAGAATTCACTACCTTTAATCCAGCTGAGCCCGGGCATTTTCATCAGTTTTCCTTCTGTTATGGAATCCCTCAACTTCTTTGCATCATCCCACCTCCCATCACCAGCATATATATTTGAAAGCATGACTCTGTAAGCACTTTTCTCCGAATTACTTTGAAAGAGCCCTTGGGCTACAATTTCTGCCAGGTCCAAATTTCCACATACATCACAGCACAATAAAAGGGCTCCCCATATGCCGCTGTCCACTGGCTCAGGCAAGGACAAAATTAGATAGTAAGCCTCTTCCAATCTTCCTTCCATCCCAAGAAGTTTCACCATATGAACATAATGCTCCGTTCTAGCTTGAATGCAAAACTCATCTTTCATTCTTCTGAAAACTTCCCGGCCATCTTTGACAAGGCCAGCATGGCAGCATGCACAAAGGAGAGCAGAAAATGTAGACTCATCAGGTTTCAATCCGTTTCCGAGTATCTCATCAAACATTCTAAAGGCCTCGGAGGCAAGTCCATGCAAACCAAGACCCAATATTAAAGAATTGTACGAAACAATATTCTTCTCTGGCATGATCTCAAAAACACGGGTACCCATCCCCAAGAAGCCGCACTTTGAATACATGGCTATAAGTGCAGAGGAAATCATGACATCCGATTCGCTTCCATGTCGAAGAACATAAGCATGTATCTCACAACCAGGCCCTACATGCGCCATCTGAGCAGCAGCAGCCAACATACTGGCAATCAAAACTGAATCTGGTTTCTTACCTTCCATGTTCAAATTCTTGAAAAAAAACAATGCCTTCTCATAATCTCCCGACTGCGAAAACCCAGTGATCAAAGCAGACCATGTAACTAAATCCGGCTCGGACAAACCACTAAAAACTCTATGTGCAGAATTTATAGACATGCATCTCGAATACATGCTCACAAGTACACTGCTCACATGAGCATTAGAATCTAAATTCCATTTCAAACAAAGGCTATGTATTCCTTCTCCAATACTTATCAAGCTCGAATCCGCTAAACCCGAAAGCAACCCAACAATTGTGTATCCATCCGGCACCATCTCCATGCTTCTCATCTCACTAAATAGCTGCAACCCTTTATCCCAAAACCCGCCACTTCCATAACCCGAAATCATCGAATTCCATAAAACCAAATCCGGCTGTCGAATCCCATTGAACACCCTGCTTGCTTCATCAACAAGGCTGAGTCTTGAGTAAGCTGAAACAAGTGCACTGCTACAAATGGAGTCCAATCCCAACCCTGCAACCATTACTCCACAATGCACAAGCTTCAGTCCATCCAAATCAAAACTATCAGCGCAGGCACGTACAATGCAAGCATAAGTGAAGTTATCCGGTTTGATGTCAGTTCTACGCATCTCAGAAAACAGAGAAAATGCATCTTCAAATCTGTATGCTTGAGCGTGGGCTCGAATGATGGAGTTCCAAAGGTAGACACTCCGGTGGGGACCTTCGTCGAACACTTGACGTGCAGAGTGAAGGTCTCCGTTGATTGCATAGAATCTGAGTAATCTGGTTGCGTAAAAAGGGTCGGGGCGGAGGTGGGTTTTGAGAAACAGAGCATGCAATTGGTTGGTTCTTGATAGCGATTGGTAGACTTTGGAGAGGCAGAGGCACGGCCCCTGCATTCGAAAAATAAGTCTACTTGCAGAGGGCTCTGGCAACCTGCGAATAAGAAGAAGAGGGTTGTGGCCCTACTTTTTCACTTTATAAAATGAAACGGTAGCGTTTCACTCTTCCAATAGTTTTCCTTAGTTTTTATGCAGTAATGGATCAAAACGGAAATAATGGGAAATAAATATGGGGCCCAAATTAATGTTCAGCTAAGTCCATCGTAAACAAAGAGAGCGGATCCTCGCCGGATCCTCTAGTCACATTCGTTCATCGTACATTATGTGGTCAGTTTTTATTAGGTACTGTTTATATTCAATTTTAAATAAAAATATTTACAATGATTTATGGCCGTGCGATGTACAATGAACGAATATGATTGGAGGATCCCTAAGATCCTCACAAAGAGGATCCGACTGGGCAAACAAAAATACCTACACGGAGTACAATAGAATTCCTCGAGAAGGTCAGTGTGGAAGTACATCTAAGGATGACTCCCAAACAATTCTTGCGAGAGTTGGAAAAAAGTGTACGGATAAAGCACGTATCCATATAACTGCTTGCCATCTATGCTTCACCAGCAATTCCAGGTTTAGGAATTTCACTCGGCTCGTGCACAACCCTATCCAATTATGTTATAAAGGAATTGAACATATTGGTGGGCTGGTTATTCAGAGCTAGCAACTGGCGGCTAGATTTTGTCCCGCAATTAGAAGTAAATGTTTACTTAAAAATGAATAAACTGTTTGATAATCAATTTCGTTTCCAATTTTCACTTTTTGTTTTCACTTTTTTAAAAACTAAAAACTGAAATCTTGATTAGTAATTATTTGCAGTTTTTAGTTTTCAAGAAAAATAAAAACAAAAAAATCGAAAATTAAAAACTACTTTCTTGAGTTTTCAAAATTTGATTTTGAGTTTTTACTTTTTGGTTTTTAGTTTTCATTTTTCGTAAAATTGAAAACTGAAAGATGTTAACAAACAAGATTTCAGTTTCCAAAAACGTAAAAACTAAAAAATAAAAACAAAATAATCATCAAACAACCCCTTAACATCGTTGGATTCAACATTTCCTACTTTTCATTCCTCATTTATAATTTTACACCAAATTTCTTATATGACTACTAGATATAAAAAAAAAAACCGACCGTATCACATTCATTTACTTTGGCTTTAGTGGTTTTGTAGAGATTAAGACTCCAAAGCCAAATGGAAACACTAATGGTTCTCATCCAGGTACTATATACGTAGGCAATTTTCTCTTCCGATTAATATAAAAATCCATGTGATCACTCGGGCGGATTAGCGGAATGCTTGAACGGTGATGGACTTGCAAGAAAACAAGTAATTGTAGTATGAACCATTTGTATTTAAAACTCACATAACTAATATGAATAAATTGTATATAAAACCGATTCTTAGCTGACTATTTAAAACAAGATTTGAATAAGATTTGAAATTGAGAATATAAAAGAAACAGAAAATAAAAGAATTGAAATTGGTTTTAGTAAAAACTCGGCAGCAAAGAGAAAATTAAATAGTTTTGAAGAAAAAATCAATCATATGCAGTTCTATCAATTACGTATGAGTTGATACATGCAAACCATGGAGGTTAGGTCTTTCTAATGCATATTTTACTTATGGCATTCAAGTTTGAACGTATATTAAACATGCAATCCGTCTGTGATATTCATATCAAATATGAGCATGCAAGACTCATTAAACTTTGTGAAAAATCTTTTGAAAATCATGCAACACTTACGACGTGGCATTCACCTTAAGTGAAATTACAATTATCAATCACAAGAAACCCTTCTCAATTTCAAGATGACATTCCAACAGAATTGCATCAAATTACTTGTCTAAACATCCTAATGGTGATCAAACATTAAGACACATAGATGGTTTAAACATGATGATTAATAATTCAAAGCAATATGCCATAAACAAATTGAAAAGAAACTACATATTCATACCAAGGCTCGTGGACTCGCCATAGCAAAAGGAAGTAGTTACGCATATTTATAATTGAAAAGTACAAATATTATTAAGAAGAAAAGATAGAAAACACCCTTGTAACAAATCGTCAAAAGCTCCTAAGCTGAGATCTCCAAGTCTAAAAACATTCTGGCCCTAGAAAAAGACCCGGCTAAATATATATAGTGTGCACAAATTATCTAAATTAGGTCTTCCAACAAATTTGGAAACCCAATTAAAATAATAAACTAGGAAATACAATCCTATCCTAGGACAATCTGGGCAACCAAGTATTCAACATGTTCCCTAATCGAATCTGCTCAAAATCAGGCCTGCCAGGTGGCGTTAGAAAGATAAAATTGTACCTTATATTTTATAAAAAGGACTTTTCTAAAAAAAAAGTTCATCTTGAATTACTTATGGCCCAAACAAGAACAAAACGTCAAGTTGCCAGCACTGTGCGATTAGCCTTCTTTTATTCACTACGGTCAAACGGCTGAGAAATAAATTATGAAATTTCGACACAATCATCTTGAAAGACGCATGAATCTACTCCACAAAATTTTCATTTCATCGTTTTTTGCTCAAAATAGATTCACATGTCCTACAATTGAAATATAAAGTAAAGTATCAAAATTCTTACAAAATAACAAATAAATTATAACTAAGATTAGGGTAAAAATATAGAATAATATCGACTCATCACCTATCGATTGAAATCTTTGCTTAATAAATTGGATGTGTCCTTTTTTTTCTTTGGTTGAAATTTGAAGTTATTTGAATTCAATTTTTTTTATTCAATTGCATTGGTGAATGATATTAGAATTCAATTATATCTATCGGTAATCTTGCTTGAATATTATGGCTGAATTTTCTGTTGTTTAGTTTCTTGGTTGGTTGCTTGGTTTGTTCCATTTTTTTTTAGCAAACCTCAACGATACAAGAGAAATTTTATTGAATCAGAAAAAAAAAAAAGAAATTACACTTAGTTAAGGGGACATAAACCTTAGCTCATAATATAAGTAGAAATAATAAAGTAAAAATACAAGAAAAGAATGGAGGACATAAACTTAACTTCTCTTAAGAAAACAAATAAAAATACAAGAAAATATGAACGACGCGTGCCCCAGATGGTCCTCGGGGGGTGGGGTGGGAAGTCAAGCCTGATTTAGAGTTTCTTTGGGGGTGGGGGGGGGAGGTAGTGGAACATGTCTATGCGATGGCTGTTTATTGCGAGCAGGTGTAGGTGGCGGCCTATTGAATGGTCTTAGGCTGCGGCGAACAGGCACCATTTTGGTACTCAAAATATCACTTTGACATTCAAAGCAACCTTGTTCAATTATATGAGAAAATCACAAGAAGCAAGAAATTAGTTACCAAATAATAAAATTGGTAAAAACTAAGTCGATTTAAGTAGCTAATGCTAATGCTTGGAGATCTCATAAAAGGAAGATAATTATTAGTTATACCATGAGGAAGTAGTCCACAAGTTGCTTGAAAATCCCCCATCAGAAGCAACACTAGTGTTGTAATTGCCACCAGCTTTGCTGAAGAACCATTCATCTTCGGGAGCAGAAACAATAACTTCGAACCACAACGTGGAGATGAATGATAGTGCAAAGGGAAAGCAAGATTTATAGACTTTAACTTGCAGGGGTTTGGACAATAATTATATGCTTCTGTTTCTAGTTGGACTTTCGAAGGGTTGACCCCTAATTCTTCCATTGATGTAGAATAAATGACAGAATAAATCAAAGAGAAAATTGACCTTCGAAAGATAAAAGGATGTAGTGGGAACTTGCATATGAGCTCTGATTTAGACTCGTGCTACCTTTTTGGAAAGGAAACTACGCCACGAGCCCAACACATCGCTTCGGCTGTGACGTACGATAGATTTTGGCCATCCAGGGTCATTTCAGCCTCCAAAACAGCGTTTAAAATTTCATAATAAAAATCGGACTCTTCGTTTGTCATCCGATTAATGTTTAACTAATGTTGTTTTAATTATTAGAAGTCATTTGAGTTGTTCCAAATGTTTGTAATCTTTATTTAAGTCATCTGGACGTACCAATAGCAATCATTCAAGAATTAATCAAACAAAACCCTTTGGGATTTCTCTCAATTTTCTAATGGATTCCAGATTTTGTTTTATAATGGATTATGTTGATAACCCTTTCATCGCTTTGTGCCGCGCCATCCATTCTTTTCATTTATTCTCTACCATACAAGAAATTCTTCATTTGTTCATTGAAAATATTGTAATTTTTTAACACGTGACAATTATTTATTAAAGTTTTGTGTCATTGAAATTAAAACTTGATGACAAATGAAAATTTCTCATTACCATACACCTCAATTTAGTAGAATCTCCAATGCGCACTGTGGGTGCTTCATTTTTTTTATTTTTTTTAGACTAAAAACTTCATGTTGCACATGCCAATTTGACAAATACAATTTGATAAATAAAAAAAATGGAAAAGGATTAGGTCTATCATTAAATTGAATTAATCAAACAAAAATGACAAACATAATTAAATAAGAGTATGTGACAAACTAAATGGAGTATGTCTTTATCATTCCCTTCTGGTAGCAGAAGAAGCACTCACTTCCGGTAGCAAAAAAATAAATAACTAAAAATATGACTTTAGCCCCTGAAACTCAAGTTTCTTTACATAAAATCCGACATAATCTTTTTACCTGAATAAAACCCAATGACTAGGCTCCACATAAGCAAATTCATTAATTCTATTTGCCTTTACACATTTTGCATTTTTAGATGCCTAAAACACCCCTAATTACAATTTTAATGTATACATTAAATTCTATGCAGATTTGAAGGGAGGGATTAATTAAAAAAAATGCATTAATGTTTAAAATCATTGCATATTGATATATCATAACAAATTGTATGTTAATGCTTCTTGGAAAAAAAAAGCACTAATGTTATACTTTCCTTAAGATTTTGTAATTGTTTTTCAAATTTGCATAAAATTTGACAATTTTAATTTAATCTTGTCATTTTCTTACCCAAATGAAAATCTGAAAGGGCACTATAAAATTTGTCCAGTAATAATACATGCAAAATAATTTACTTATAAAATTAAAGAAATGTTATTTGATTCA